GAGTTATCAATACTTGTTATTTTATTGTATATATATATGTATGTATATATATATATATATATATTATAAATTATTACTTTTGCTTTCTGTTGAGGCAGAACCATCCTGCACAATATAACTCTCGACAATTGGACCAGACCTAATAGTTTCCACTATTTTGTCGCCACCAGATTTGGTCGAAACTGTTATAAAAATTATATATAAATAAATAAATAATACTTAATCCCAAAAATACTAGATCTAGTGGAGCATACCTTAGAAATTCCAGATTAATTAAAAATTAAAAATTCAATATTATAATAAACAAATTTTTGAAATCTTCAAAACTTACACCTTTGATAAATTGGAATTCTAGTAATAAATTTCGATCTTACTAAATTTTAATCGAGAAATTAAGATTCTCTGGAAAAATAAATTTTTCCTTCGATAAATTTATAATAATTATTATTACCTTTACTCTTTTTTCCATTTTCGATAATGTAAGTTTCTATTATTGGAGACGATCCTATTGTCTGCACTCTTTCTATAACTCTTTGTGCACCTGAGAAAATAAATTAATAATTAGCTATACACTAAAAAAATAATTCAATCTAATATATAAATATTTTATACCTTTACTCCTTTTCCGTCTTCAACAATATAAGTTTCTACTCTCGGAGATGATGATGCAGTTTTTACCGTTTCTAGAATTGTTTGTCCACCAGATTTTGTAGAAACTACTAAAATTTAATATAATTTCATAAAAGAAAATTACAATTATAATAAAATTGATATTTCCTACCTTTACTCCTTTTTCCATCTTCAACAATATAAGTTTCTACTCTTGGAGATGATACAGTTTCCACAGTTTCTAGAATTTTTTGGGCACCAGATTTTGATGAAACAACTGAAAATTAATATATTATAATAAGAAAACTGGATAGAACTCATGTAAAAGATCATTTTATAAAAGAAAAATAGAAAAAAATAAACAAGTTGTTGAATAAATGAAAAGTGGTATTCCCATATGGTAATATTGCTTTTGAACATAGAAATGTTAATATTTTTATTATTAATATTATTAACAATTTAAATAAAAAAATAGAGTTAGTATTTTGTTTTTTTCTTATGAAATAAAAAAATTGCACCAAGTGAGAAAAAATTAAGAAAACTAAAAGTCAAAGTACTAGACAAGCTTTTAAAGTAAAAATTGCAAGGTAAAAGAATTAATTTAAATCTGTTTTTAGTCATCAATAACAATAGTATTATTGATGATTAAATCTGGAAATAACAAAAATGCTATAGTTCTAATATTTTGTATAATTACTTCTTTTTCCATCTTCAATTATATAAGTTTCTACCCTCGGAGATGATCCTATAGTTTCCACAGTTTCAATTATTTGTTGTGCACCGGATTTTGTAGAAATTGCTAAAAATAAATAATATATATATATATATATATATATATATATATATATATGGCATTTACAACAATTCCATGCCAACAGTTATATACATCCCGATATAAAAATTTTGAATAAAACGACTTTGAATTCGATCTCTCATTATTCTTTGGAAATGAATAGAAAATTCGGGACTTTTTTTTGGTTTTTGTCAAATAATTGTCAAATGTTATATGAAAACATCCTTTTTCAGGTAGATACGAAGAAACTAGATAAAATTTACTACGATCTAATGCCAACAGTTATACATAAATATGCAAATAATAAATTTATTTAATTTTTTGTACCATTTTTGCCTTTTGCTCCAACACTAGAGTCTTCAATAACATAAGTCTCAACCCTGGGCGAAGACCCTGGAGTTTCTACAGTTCTTATTAATCTTTGGGAACCTCTTTCTGAAACATCTATAAAAAAATAAGATTAAAATAATAAATAAGCATACAATAGTATAACTAAAAATAAATAGTCGACACAATCTTATAAACACATATGGAAACAAATGTTTGAATTTGTATTTGAGAAGTATTTTCAATTTGTTTTCAGAATTTTTATCAAGAAATTGTAGTTCATTTTTAATTATTATGTTGATAAATATTTATAACAGCAATGATTCTTCGGATTTTTCAATAAAATTGATTTCAATTTGGAAATGGGATTCTCTCTAATATATCTTTTTTATAATACATCTTTTGTACGTGTGTATGTCAAACAAATGCTCCTAAACGGTTGTCCAAAATTTTGTTAAAACTTTTTGTATGTGTCATAGAATATTTATAAATGGTTTTAGTAAAACAAAAAATTGTAATCATGTAGACATAACAAAAATATAAACGAATAACCAATTTGTTATTGTTTTACCTTGAAAAACCTAACACAGGTAACATTTCTAGAAATGTTAGTTTTCTTTAAAATTTGTGTTGAAATATTAAATTATCTTATCATATCATTTGCAACAATTTTGTATAAAAGTTCAATTTCAATTTGAAAATCAGAGTTTTTCTAATATATTAGGTTGTCAAATATCTCCCTTCCGCCTTTTTGTATTATAAACCAAGAGCAAAAAAGCGGAAGGGAGATATTTGACAACCTAATATACATTTTTTGTACGTGTGTATGACACTCAACTACTCCAAAACGGTTGTCCAAATTTTGTTAAAACTTTTTGTATGTGTTATAGAATATTTATAAATGGTTTTAGTAAAATAAAAAAATGTAATGATCATGTAAGAATAACGAGAAATTTAACGAATAACCAAACTTGTTGTTATTGTTTGGCCTTGGAAAAAAAACTATTAGTTTTTATAGGTAACAGTTTTGAAAATTAGTTTAGTTAAAAATTTGTACTAAAATACTAAAAATTTGTACTGAAATATAATAAAAATTAAGCTTAAATATTAAAACATACTAATATTTCATTTATTTAGTTACCTCTGCTTGCTTTTGAAGATTTCTGCACGTCTTCAATGATATAACTTTTCATCCTTGGAGAAGAACTTACGGTTTCAACTGTTTCTACCAATCTGCGCACACCTAAAATTTTTATAATATAAAAATTTTCATTAATAATTGCTTTTTATTAATTACAATAATAATTAAAAATTATGAATACCTTTTTGTCCTGGTCTAGAGACTTCCACAACGTCGGACTCTACTTCAGAAGTCTCCACAGATTCTATAATTCTATGTAAACCTGATTTTCCTAAAAAAAATAAAAATATAAATAATTGTTTAATTATACTAGCTGGCCCGACAGACCTCAATTTTTTTTAACTTCTTGTGTACTATTCAATCTACGATCAACTAACTAAATATTTCATACCCATTATTCAAAACAAATGAATTTTTGACACAATGAAACTATAAATAATTTTGTGAATAAATAATTTTTTTTATAATAATTTAGTAAAGTAAGACAAAATACGTCATGCATAAGTTAAAGAAAATAATCTGTTGAACTGAATTATATAAATTCATCTGCCAAATATTTACTGTATTTTATATTACTTTAATTTCTGGCACATCTCAGCAGCTTTTCAGCAATAAAAATGTAGACATTATATTTTTCTTATTCATAATCATGAATATATCATATTCTAATATTGTCTAAGCTCATTAGTAACTTGAAATTTCTGGCAGATGACAGTTCTCATGTGTCAAAATAATTTAAATGTCAAACAATGATTCCAATTACTATAGTCTAATAACAATAACTATAGTTTTATAATTCATGACATCCCAAAAATTTCCCTTAATAAACTCCAAAAAGATTTTCCAAAATTTGAATAACCGTTTAGGAAAAGTTTGAATTCAAATGTTACTTAATTCAAATATCTGTACATCCGTACAGAAAAATTGTATATATATAATATATAAAGTTTTATAATTCATGACAACTTAAAAATTTTCTTTAACATACTCGAAAAAGATTTATCAAAATTCAAATAACCGTGTAGAAGGTGTTCGAATTCATACAACCGCACAGAAAAATTTTATATTTAAAGTTTTATGATTCATAACATCTTAAAAAATTCCTTAACAAACTCCAAAAAGATTTATCGAAATTCAAATAAGCGTTTAAGTGAAGTTTGCAATCATACATCCGCACAGACGAATCGTATATATAGTGTTTTATATATTAATTATTATTATTTTTTTTGAATTACAATATTTATTACAACTGTTAAATAATATAACATCTAGTGATGAATAACATAAATTTAAATAAATAAGAGTACAAAGGATAGAATTTACATTAAAATGATATTCGTAGTTTGATGATTTAATATAAAATAAAAGCAAATAATAATAAAAATGAAATTAATAAATAAAATAAATAAAATATATTAATTATAACATCTTGAAAATTTTCTTTAACAAACTCCCAGAAGATTTATTAAAATTCAAATAACCGTTTAGGAGGAGTTTGAAAATTTTTATATAATTACCTTTATGTCCTTCTACAACTTCTTCCACGATATAAGTTTCTGCACAAGGAGAGGATTTATTTGTGGTCTCTACTGTTTTAATAATTCTTTGAGAACCAGTTTTTGTACCTAAAAAATATTTTTTATTATATATATATATATATATATATATATATATATATGATTATTTTTATATACCTTTGCTTTCTTTTGAATCTTGTATAACATAAGTTTCTACTCTTGGCGAAGAAGTTACAGTCTCAACTTCTTCTATAATTATTTGGCCACCAGATTTAGTAAGGGCTAAAAATAAATTGTATATATATATATACATTAGGGTGGTCCTTAATATGGATATTTTCGATTTTTTGCTCACGGGAACTTAAATGCTTCCAATTCGTAAAAAAAATCTCTGATTTATTTAGATTTAGTAAGGGCTAAAAATAAATTGTATATATATATATACATTAGGGTGGTCCTTAATATGGATATTTTCGATTTTTTGCTCACGGGAACTTAAATGCTTCCAAATCGTAAAAAAAATCTCTGAGGGGTTTAACTCCTAATATTATTTTTAAGATCTTCTTCCCAAGTAAATATTTATTTTATAAAATATATAATTTGTTTTGGAATTTTTTTTATTTATGATTAATATAAGCAAATACAATGTTATTCTCAAAATTTTGATTCACTTATCGCTTGTTATAAAATTCTAAAGAACAAATGAATTTTACCCATGTTATTTTTATAAGAAACTTTGTTTGAATTGCGGACTATGTTAGAGTTAAAATTAGGATTATTTTATGACTTTCAGATTATTTTTTTTTATTTTTTCAGATTATTTTTTTTATCATTTGAATCTCTGGGAGCAAAGAAATTTGATAATAAATTATATAAAACACAATTAAATTTTTCTATTACCTCTACTATTTCCATCAATTGCTTCTTCAACAATATAAGTTTCAACTCTTGGAGATTGACCAACAGTTTCAACGGTTTCTAAAATTTTTTGGACCCCAGATTTTGTAGAAACTTTATTTTCCTTGGAGAATTTTTCATCCTGAACAACAAAAGTTTCGACTTCGACAACTGGCATTGATGTTGTAACAGTTTCCACAATTCTACGACCATCACTGGACTTTTTGGTAACTTTAATAAAATAAGAATTCCATAAAATTAAATAAACAAATAATAGAATACGTAAATTTTTTAAGAGACACAATAATATAAATTAAAATCATATTCACCTCTTTTTTCTTTATTAAGTCCATCTTCACTAATAAATTCCTCAACCTCAATACTTGGTGTTGTTTTGTAAGTCTCCACAGTTTTGGAATATCCATCAGATTCTTATAAAAAATTTGGAAAAGATATCAAAAATTAATACTAAAGTATAATATTTATTATATAATACTCATATGTATATATTTAGAAAAAAATCGTTTACCTTTTCTTTCCATTTCTATAAAATCTTCATATTTATTGATTTTTTTAGTATCAGTCGTGGTTGTTGATTCTTGGGTATCTTTTGTTTTTATTGTTGCAACATCTATTGAAATAAATAAAATAAAAATATACAAAGATTATCGACATAAATAAAATAAAAATATATAAAGACCATCGAAATAAATAAAATAAAAATACATAAAGACCATCGAAATAGATAAAATAAAAATATATAAAGATCAACGAAATAATTTTGTTGCGCATAAATATAAAAATAATTAATTGTTTATGTAAAAAATCAGACACTAAATTAACAATAATATATAAAAAATGTATCCATATTTTATTTATGTAAAAATTTGTTGTATTTGACCTAGTAGTAAGCAATATTTATATATTATAAATTGAAAATAAATTTAGAAAAAATTATGAAAATTAAGATTGAGAATATATATTTTTGCAACATATGAAAAACCATTTCGCCATTTATTATTTTTTGTATCTATTTACGAAAATGATAATAATAAATGGTTCATGTAAAAAATTAGATACAATTAAAAATAATATTTTAATTATATAAAATTTGCGATATTTGATAAAAAAATAAGCAAAATTCAAATATTATAAATTTCTATCTAAAATAAACTAATGATGTAATATGTAAATTCAAATTCTTGTATACTAAAATATTCTCTTCTAAAATATTTTAGGTTTTCTAACAATATTTTGAATTTAAAAATTATATCCGAAGACATTATATACAGAGAGTGATGATCTATTTGGAAGAGTAGTGTTTTATAGTTGTTTATATATATATATATATATATATATATATATATATATATATATATATATATAATTAAATTTTTTATTCATACTATTTTTGGCTAATAAAACAAATGTATGATTATTAATATTACCTTTATCCTTAATTGCAACGATTTTATCATAATCAACATTTTCCACTGAAGTTTTGTCTACAATTTTAGATACTCTAGTATCTGAAAAATAATAAAAGAATTACTAAAATATTATGAATAAATACTGATCATAAAATTTAAAAAAATATCAGTGCTAATATAAATCTACTCAAACAAAACGCCAAAAATCTAATTAGTAACATAAAAAATTATAAAATAAATTTTAAAAAATTGCTTTGAATTTTCCAATGTAAATACAGCAATTAGCTACAAGCTATGTAAAATGTGCTATTTGATAAAAAATATTCTAATTAATAAAATAATTAGCTAAAATACTATTACCTATGCCTAAAATGTTGCAACCAAAAATTATTAAATCAATTTGTATTTTATCTTCCAGAAATATTTTAAAACTATCAGAAAAACTCTACTTTACTACTAAATATACTAAGTATACCTACTAAAATAGACATATATTGTATAAAAATTCATGTACAAACAATTAGTATAACAGTTACACTACTAATAATACTATTATTTGTGCATAAATTTTGCTAAAACTTACAAAATTATTCACCACCTTGTAAAAATCCGCCGCACTAACACAAAACACATTTTAGATGCAAAATTTAGCAAAAATATTATAAACAAATTTGTATTTTAATTTAAAATTTAATTCAACACTTTTATCAACAATGTAAATATCTAAATCACCATTTTGTTAATAAAAAATACCAAAAACAATTTATATTTACCTTTATCCAAAGTTCCATTAACCTGCGTCTGTTTAACAATAATATGATCACGAGTTCCAACTTCTTTCACCAAATGTCGTTCAGATTCTGCAAAAAAATAAAACAAAAAACCAAAAATAGTATTTTTCACATACACTAAATTTGTCAAAATTTTGTTGAAAATTATTTTTTACCTATTAGTTGCTGCGACACATCAGTTTCGTAGACTCTTTGACCATCCTTCATGGTCCAGGATAATTTTCGTACTCTTGTTGGTACAGGACCTAAATGTAAATTGAAATATATATATATATATATATATATATTCATATATTTAATTAAAAAATATTTTGGTTAAAAAAAGTTTTACCGTATCCTCCACCAGCTCCTCCACCACCACTAGGTTCAGGACGTACACGAGGTCCTTTAGAAATTACTGATAGTTCAGGATTGTACGAACCTGGTCCTAAAAAACAAACAAATTATAGTGTACACATTAATTCTAATTATCAAAATTTTTTTTTCCTGGTTTACCTGGTATGTCGCTTTGTATTTTGGTCTCTGGTCGATGTCCAAATGTAAATTGGGGCGTGTGGTCTAATTTTACCTTTTCTGGTGAATATTGACCAGGACCTAAAACAATTAGAGAAACAAGATGATTTTTTATCTATCTAAGTATTGGTTTGTTTTCTTTTATATAAAATTACCTGGTGTGATGTTGCGGATTTCAACGTCACGTCTAACACCAAAGCTGTAACCTGATGACGTGTCCAGTCTTGATGTTTCTGGTTTGTAGTCACCAGGACCTAAAAAAAATATAACAGAAATAGTACTGATTAAATTTTTTAGCAATGACTGATAAAAACTTTGAAATTTGTAGTCCAAAATCAAACTAGTTGGTTTGGTATTTAGCCTTAAAGCAAGTTACATGAACTTCCCGATATGTGTAAATAATTGACTTAATTAATAAAATATAAATTAATTTATGAGTGATTAAAAGTATTCCGAGTGTATTTATCACACATAATTGAAAACGAACAAACACGTTAACTCTGAGTATTTTATAAAAGCAAATTTTCAAAAATCAATAATTTTTATAATTGAACCAGTTTTTGTATGAATTTAATAATTTAGTATGTTCATTAAAACCAAGTACTCTATCGTTATACCAAGTGAGTGAATCGTCTAATTTAAATTTTAACAAACGTCAAAAAACTACTCATTTTCTGATGATTTTTTAAAATTAAACTACTTGTCGTAAGGCCATAATATTACAGTAAGTTCTATAAGACCATGATATATATCGCTAAAAAAATCCATAAAAATCGGCTTAAATTTTTTTTCAACAGTTAATTACAAGAAAACACCTCGGTAGATTTTCACCTAAAATTAATCAGTACCATTCCCAACTAATATCTTTCGAACAGTTTTCGATTTTTCAATATCGGTTCGGTAGGATGTATTAGATGTATTAGATATATTAGAAGTATTAGATGTATTAGATATACAATTCACAATTTTACAATTAAATGAGCTCAAATGTGGACGAAAAGTTTAACACTTTTTTCCAAATCTCCAAGAAACGGCTCGGCCGATCGTCGCACAAAACTGACAAACGATAGTCCTCATCGAAATGCATCAAATGGTTTTTAAATTTCTGAAATCGGTTTAGGCGTTTTTGAGAAAACGTCGAAGAAAGGTCTAATTTTGATAAATGCCAAAAAAACGATACCAATTTTTGCAAACTTTGACGAATTTTCAAAGTTAAACCAATTGTCGTAGGGCCGTAATATTTTAGTATGATCTAGAAGACTATGGTATCTACCGCCAAAAAAATAATAACAAAAATCGTCAAAAAAATTTTTTTTAACACTTTATTACAAGAAAACGGCACGGCCGATCTTTACCAAAAACTAATCAGCACGATTCCCAACCAATATCTATCGAACGGTTTTTGAATTTTCTTAATCGGTTCAGAATTGCGGGCTAAAATGTAGACAATTTTTTTTTCACTTTTCTGCTATTTATAAAGAAACGTCTCGGCCGATCGTCCCACAAAACTGACAAACGATAGTCCTCGTCGAGATACATCGAATGGCCTTTAAATATTTGAAACCGGCCCTGCCGTTTTCGAGAAAACGTCGATTTACGGCAAAAAATCTGTTCACACACATACATACACACACACATACTTTTTCCAAATTTGGTCTCATTCGATTCAGAAACATAAACTTCTCCTTCGGGAAGTTAATAATGGTTAAGGAACCTAATGGCTAAATAATATTACTCAGGATTTTACCAGGTGTATCTTTAGGTTTGTTCAAATCAGGACGAATTCCAAAACTGTAGTGAATGCCTGAGTCCAACTTGGATGGATAATATTTTCCAGGACCTAAAACAATAAATTATAACATATCAGAATACCTTAATTCAACAAGGTGTGAAGGTTTAAAATTTTTCTTCTATCTACCTGGTAAATTATCAGGTTTATCGTGGTCTGGTCTGTGTCCAAAACTGAATCCAGGACTTGTATCCAATTTGGATTTTTCTGGAGAATATTGACCAGGACCTGCAAAACAATAAACACATCATAGTCTAGTTTTATTTATTTATTTTTTATTTTTTTTGTTTTATATTGTTATTTTTATTTTATTTTTTTTGTTTTTTATTTTTTATTAACTTCCCGTAGGGTAGTTATAGTAATGGGCCGAAAATCGAAAATGAAATTTTTTGCATTTCTCGACGTTTTGAAGGTTTCTGAACATTTTACTGGCATACCTCAAAAACTAAATTGATGTGTGTGTGTGTTTTGTATGTCCGCATTTTTTCGTCCACGTTTTCGGGCGCACGGATCAACCGATTTGAATGGTTTAAAAAACATTCGATTCCTACTAATAGGGAGATGTGCTGATTAGTTTTTAGCAAATGCAGGTCCAGCCGTTACGGAGATACAAAGCAAAGAGTGCAGAAAATACAAATAGAGTTTTTGAGAGAAAAATGTGAAAATGCCGCCAAGCCAAGCACAGTATAAGTGAAAATGTCGCACAGAATTATTTGCAAATGCGTTTAGACTATGACTATGAGCACTTTTTCAATTTTGTGTAAATTAGGCAACTATTTTTTTAATTGAATTCGAACTGAAATGACGATTGTTAATGTTCTGGAGATAAATTAATTATGATTTATGATTTACATTTGATTTGCTCAGATATAACAATAAAATAGTAAAAATAATGAAAGTTACAGTATTTGTAATAATATATATAAGAACGTTTAAAATTTCTCTAATATTTCATTACGGTACGGGAAGTTCCAGCAATTTGCCTTAAGACACGATGCCATACACCACTAGTTTTTTTCTTTTTGTTTTTTTTTATTTTTTTCTAGTTCATATTTAATTTACCTGGATTGGTTGTCAATTATTTACCTGGAATGTCGTTCGGTTTTTCGGTTTCGGGTCGAATGCCAAAGGAGTAGTGAGGTGTGTGATCCAATTTAACTTTTTCAGGGTGATATTGACCAGGACCTAAAAATAAAACACTAACTTATGAAACAAACTCAGCATAAAAATTTTCAATTTCGATTTTTGGACGATTACAATAACTTACCCAACGGAAAGTTAATATTATGTTTCTATTTACCTGGTAAGTCGTTAGGTTTATCCAAATCAGGTCGAATGCCAAAACTGTACTCAGGTGCACGATCCAACTTGGATTTTTCCGGATTGTATTGTCCAGGACCTGAATTACACATTACACATTACAAATACCTAAAATAATTTTTTGTACTATAATTTTCGTACCTGGTACTTGATTTGGTTTATCAATATCAGGTCGAAGACCAAAACTGTATTGAGGTGTATGATCCAGCAAGGATTTTTCAGGATGGTATTGTCCAGGACCTGAAATTGACAAAAATCATCAGCAATTATGAAAAGTTATATAAAATTCAACTACTGTCTTTGTAATAGTAGCAGATATCAAAGCATTGCTGGTAAAAATTCATTTTTACAAGATATATTTATCATAAAAAATGAAAACGTTATATTATATTATATTATATAAACGTTACATCATAAACGTTATAATATTTATTTTCATTTGTGTGATTTGTATGTATTGAAATAACTAAATTATTATATTTAGCAAAAATTTTGGCAGAAGTTTTTTTCTGCCGTTTTTCCCTAAAATTACGCGCAACCTGAAACGACGCTTTGTTTTAGGTTAACGTGCAAGCGCGCGCGAAATCTTGGGAAAATATCATGATGAGATATTTTTGAATTAAACAGTTAAAATTTAACTAGTGGTGAATTTTCTGGAACTTCACGTCCCGTAATGGAATATTTGAGGATCATTATAAATACTGAAACTTACATTATTTTTGGTATCTTGTTATATCCGAATAAATCAATTCACCTCTTAACAACAATGATAGTTGCAAATTTACACAAAATTGAAAAAACGCTCCCGTATAGTCACAGTCTAAACGCATTTGCAAATAATTCATTTTTACTTATACCGTGCTTAGCTTGGCGGCATTTTCACATTTTTCAATAGTTTTTCACAAAATTGGAAAAGTACCCCAGTATATAATCAGTCTAAACGCACTTGGGTAAACATTTGTACCGGAGTGGCGCTTGGACTGTGTTTAGCCTGGGTAATTTTTTAAATTTTTAATCCAAAATCACAAAAATATTTTATAAAAAATATAAAAAGATGTAATAATTTTTTATCCTCAAAAGCAATTGTTTTGCCAATACAAGCAGAACGTTTTTTTAGATCATTCAAATCGGACGCTTAGTTCACTCAAAAACTGCCATTTTTTTCACATTTAGCTCTGTATCTCCAAAATGGCGGGACCTGTCTTTGCCAAAAACTAATCACCTCTTCTCCCAATCATTACAAATTGAATGTTTTTTGGATCATTCAAATCCGACACTCCGTTCTCTCAAAAACTCGATTTGTATTTTCTGCACTCTTTGCTCCGTATCTTCGTAATGGCTGGATCTGCCTTTGTCAAAAACTAATCTGCACATTTCTCTATCAATAGGAATCGAATGTTTATTGAACCATTCAAATCGGTTGAAACGTGCGCCCGAAAACGTGGATGCAAAATTTATATCTGAGGTATGCCAGTAAAATGTTCAGGAACCTTCAAAACGTCGAGAAATGCAAAAATTTTCATTTTCGATTTTTGGCCCATTACTATAACTACCCTACGGGAAGTTAATAAATAAATAAAAAAATAAAATTGTATACCTGGTACATCACTAGGTTTGTGAAGATCAGGACGTAGCCCAAAGCTAAAGTGTGGTGTGTGATCCAGGTTGGATTTTTCAGGATTATATTGTCCAGGACCTAATAAAAATAATATACATAAATATATAATATAATATAATAATAAACAACGTTCGTATAATTTAAGTTCTTGTACAAAGTTCTTGTAATCTTACCAGGTATGTCACTTGGTTTATCAATATTTGGTCTAATTCCAAACGAATACTGAGGTGTATGGTCGAGCCTGGATTTTTCTGGACTGTATTGACCAGGACCTAAAATATTATTAATTAGTACATTAGATTAAATCATTTAGAAGATGAATTTATTGTTGAGAATAAATATTATGTCAACTAACCTGGTACTCCACTTGGTTTCTCTGTGTCTGGTCGAAGTCCAAAACTATACTGAGGTGTATGGCCCAGTTTCGATTTTTCAGGGCTGTACTGGCCAGGACCTGCAGAAATATTTTTTTTTGTATAAAACGTATGCAGATGGAGTAAAATATTTAGTAAAGTCATACCTGGAATGTCACTTGGTTTATCAATATCAGGACGAAGTCCAAAACTGTACTGAGGAGTTTGATCCAACATTTTAGGATTGTATTGGCCAGGACCTAATTGTAAAACATATATATATATATATATATATATATATATACAGTAGAATCCGCTTAGTATGACATCAAAGGGACGCCGAAATCTTGTATACTAACCGGTCGTCATACTAAGCATACTAAAGGAAAACTTTTTAATATGTAAATATGTATGTTACATATTTCAGTAATTTAAAAGAAAAGCCTATACATACATTTTAATTAAAAATAAAAATGACACGTATTAAAATTTAATATAAAATAAAATTGACATATGGTAGGGCGGTGCACAAAGGTCCAATTTGACTTTCAGTAATTATACTGTCTAAACCCAATGAACGACACATAACATACATCAAAGAAGCATCTATCGAACTATGTTCAGAAAAAATTCACATAATTCCTGATTATATAAATATTATTTTTTTACGATTTTTTTAAATTTGGTATGTGACCCATTTTACTTCACATACGGGGTAAAGTGGAACAACCAGGGGGCAAACAGATGCAATTTCTTCTATTAAATTTTAAAGGGATTTTACGCTACATTATTGAACCAATGCAAAATATTAATTCTGTGGGTACATTTGTTACAAAGATAACACACAGTGTATTACATTGATCTGCTATTGGTCAGAAATATTTATCAGACGAGCCGGAATAACAATTTATTCAATTAATCTCTTGTAAAATTGCTTTTATTTAAAACTTTACTATTTTATTGCTTACACCTTTGCCAAAGTAAAGATTCTGCTGGTCCTTTTTATCCCACTCATGTTGTAAGCAAAGTCATAAGAATAAAGGTGATGGCTGGTTATTGAATTTATACATTTTTTGCCCTCTACTATCAAATATTTTTGTTAAAAAAAATCTAATTTTATTTGTTTACGAGATATCCGTGGTGGACCATTAATAATTGGTCTACCCTACCCATAAACATACAAATGTGATTTTTTAATGTAAGTAATCAGTAATTTTTGATTGATTTCTTTACATATTGTAAAAACAGTCCCTGGTGCTATTGTGCATAAAAGACATAGCAATTGATTTCTTAGACTTGGCCACATCATATAAAATCATGTCGGTCATTATAATTGAACATATTTTTTTGCAAAAATGGGTCATTATAAGCGACATGTCAATGTAAGCGAATTTTATATGGAAACCAAATTCCTAGTGCGATTACGTCATAATAAGCGGTTGTCAATATATCCGGCTTCATACTAATCGGATTCTACTGTATATATTATTTTGTATGAAAATCAATATTTTGTATTATACCTGGAACTTCGTTTGGTTTTTCAATATCAGGACGATGTCCAAAACTATACTGTGGTGTATGGTCCAACCTTGTTTTCTCAGGATTGTATTGACCAGGACCTGTACATACAAAATAATCATTAAAATTTGTGCAAAAAATTTGCAAAATATTTGGTAATCTTACCAGGTATATCACTCGGCTTATCAATATCTGGACGTATTCCAAAACTATATTGAGGAGTTTGATCCAATATTTTAGGATTGTATTGGCCAGGACCAGGAACTTGGTCAGGTTTATCAATATTCGGTTTCAAACCAAATGAATATTCAGGACCGTGGTCTAGTTTACTCTTTTCTGGACGATATTGGCCAGGACCTATAAAAATAAAATCAAATTATACAAAAAATTGATGACTAAACAATTTTTTTTAAAAAGTACCTGGTAAATTATCTGGCCTATCGATGTCAGGTCGATGTCCAAAACTATATTCAGGAGCTCTGTCCAACTTTGATTTTTCAGGACAGTATTGACCTGGCCCTGAAGTAACAAACACATTGTATTATAAATTATTAAATAAACTTGGCTAAATTTTAAAATTATGCCTATACTGACCTGGAACGTCACTTGGTTTCTTGTCGTCAGGTCTAAGACCAAAACTGTACCTGGGTGCTGAATCCAGGTTAGATTTTTCTGGAGCATACTGACCAGGTCCTAAAAAACAAAATATTAAAATAAAAAAAAAGAAAATGTCCAAATAAATATATATACAGAATAAAGTTGTCAATTACCTGGTACATCACTAGGTTTGTCGATTTCAGGACGATGGCCAAAACTGTATTGAGGCGTATGATCCAACTTTGTCTTCTCTGGATGATATTGTCCAGGTCCTAAAAATATTTACATAAAAAAATTGCCTTTGCGATATATTTTTTTAAATATTTTACCTGGTACATCACTAGGTTTAGAAATATCTGGTCGCAAACCAAAAGAGTATTGAGGTGTTTTATCCAATTTAGTCTTTTCAGGAGCGTATTGACCTGGACCTAAAATCACACAAAATGTTTTTAAAAATCTTAACATTCACAAAAAAATTGTATTTCGACACCAACCTGGTACGTCACTAGGCTTATCAATTTCTGGTCTATGTCCAAAACTATATTCAGGAGCTTTGTCTAATTTAGACTTTTCAGGTTGATATTGACCAGGACCTGCGATAAATATAAATTATATGATAAATTTACATTTTGTGTATCTATAAAGTGTTTTAATTATACCTGGTACATCACTAGGTTTACGATGATCAGGTTTAAGTCCAAAACTGTACTTAGGAGATGAGTCCAGTTTTGTTTTTTCCGGTGCATATTTACCAGGACCTAAAATTAAATTCCAAAATAAAATTTTTGAATAAAATTTATATACCTGGTAGATTTACCTGGAACATCACTAGGTTTTTCGTGATCTGGTCGAAGTCCAAAACTATATTTAGGAGTCGTGTCCAATTTTGTCTTTTCTGGAGCATATTGTCCTGGTCCTAATTAACACCAAAATTTTATATTAACAATATAATTTGCTAAATCATAATTTTCTTACCTGGCACATCGCTAGGTTTAGAAATATCTGGCCGTAGGCCAAATGAATATTGAGGAGTTTTGTCTAAATTAGTTTTTTCTGGCGCATATTTTCCAGGACCTTGAAAACAAAAATATTTATTAGATACTCTAATTATTAGATATAAATTTTTATAATTACTACCTGGCACATCGCTAGGTTTGCGGTCGTCAGGACGATGGCCAAAACTATATTCAGGAGCTTTGTCCAACTTTGACTTTTCAGGATGATATTTACCAGGACCTGATTAAAAAAAATTTAAAATTAGGCTCAAGAATTTTGACTAAAATAAAGTATTGCACAATTATTTACCTGGTACGTCACTAGGTTTATCAATATCTGGCCTGTGGCCAAAACTGTACTGAGGTGTTTTGTCTAAATTAGTTTTTTCTGGAGCATATTGACCAGGACCTAAAATAATGATAAAAATTATCTAATCTTGACAAGTATGTGTAAATAAAAATGTCTTTGTTATACCTGGTACGTCACTGGGTTTTCTATCATCAGGTTTATGGCCAAAACTGTATTTGGGTGTGGAGTCTAGTTTAGTTTTTTCTGGAGCATATTGACCAGGACCTAAAATAATAAAATAAATAATAAAATTATTTTGCTTATAGAAATGGTAGTTTATAAATTACCTGGTACGTCACTGGGTTTTTTGTCGTCAGGTTTATGGCCAAAACTATATTTTGGAGTAGAATCTAGTTTAGTTTTTTCTGGGGCATATTGACCAGGACCTAAAAAACAATTTAAAAATTAATAACACTAAATAATTGATTATTTTTATTATTTATATAATTTACCTGGTACGTCACTAGGTTTTCTATCATCAGGTTTATGGCCAAAACTATATTTTGGTGTTGAGTCCAGTTTTGTTTTTTCTGGAGCATATTGACCAGGACCTAAAATTAAGATTGATAATTAAAATAATAACTTTAGATTGTTTTTGGAAGAGTATTTGTATTGTCTGTTATACCTGGGACATTACTTGGTTTTCTATCGTCAGGTTTATGGCCAAAACTGTATTTTGGCGTGGAATCTAATTTAGTTTTTTCTGGAGCATATTGACCAGGACCTAAAATAATAAATAATTATTAAACAATAATTTAATTTTAAAAAGTAAGAATCTTAATAAGTAAGTTAGTGTTGTACCTGGTACGTCACTGGGTTTTCTATCATCAGGTTTATGGCCAAAACTGTATTTTGGTGTGGAATCTAGTTTGTTTTTTCAGGAGCATATTGACCAGGACCTAAAAAATAATTTACAAATTAATTAAACCGAATAATTGTTTATTTTTTAATATGATTTACCTGGTACATCAGTTGGCTTTTTATCATCAGGTTTATGGCCAAAACTGTATTTTGGTGTCGAATCAAGTTTGGTTTTTTCAGGAGCATATTGACCAGGACCTAAACAAAATTATTTAAAAAAATAATAATACTGAATAACTTATCACAAATGATATTTTATAATTACCTGGTACATCAGTGGGCTTTCTATCATCAGGTTTATGGCCAAAACTGTATTTAGGAGTCGAATCTAATTTTGTTTTTTCAGGAGCATATTGACCAGGACCTGAAATAAGCAATTATGTAATAAATAAATATGTAACACTTTTTTGGTTGTAAAATTATATAAATTTACCTGGAACATCACTCGGTTTTCTATCATCAGGTTTATGGCCAAAACTGTATTTTGGTGTAGAATCTAGTTTTGTTTTTTCAGGAGCATATTGACCAGGACCTACACAAAATTATTTAAAAAAATATTATTACTGAATAATTTATCACAAATAAATATTTTATAATTACCTGGTACATCAGTAGGCTTTCTATCATCAGGTTTATGGCCAAAACTGTATTTTGGTGTTGAGTCCAGTTTTGTTTTTTCAGGTGCATATTGACCAGGACCTACGATAAAAATAATTTATATATAAACAAAACAAATCATTTAATTAATATTTATCTAAAATGTTTTTGTAGTACCTGGTACATTGTTTGGTTTCCTGTCATCAGGTCTATGGCCAAAACTGTATTTTGGTGTAGAATCTAGTTTAGTTTTTTCAGGTGCATATTGACCAGGACCTTAAAAAAATAAAAATTAGGTTAAAATTTTAAAAATATCTAGACAAAAATTGTGTATATATTTTATACCTGGTACATCAGTTGGTTTCCTTTCATCAGGCCTATGGCCAAAACTATATTTTGGAGTAGAATCTAGTTTAGTTTTCTCTGGAGCATATTGACCAGGACCTTAAAAAATAAAAATTAAATAAAAACGTCAATAAATATAGAAAATTCTGGACAAAAATTGTGTATATATTTTTTACCTGGTACATCAGTTGGTTTCCTGTCATCAGGTTTATGACCAAAACTATATTTAGGAGTAGAATCTAGTTTAGTTTTTTCCGGAGCATATTGACCAGGACCTTGAAAAAATTAATATTGAGTCAAAATTATAGAAAACTCTGGACATTAATCTTGTATATATTTTTTACCTGGTACATCAGTAGGTTTCCTGTCATCAGGTTTGTGGCCAAAACTATATTTGGGTGTAGAGTCCAATTTGGTTTTCTCAGGAGCATATTGTCCAGGTCCTTAAAAGTATACCAAATAAATAAAAATGCAAAAACCTAAAATTATGGATAAAAATCCTGTTTAGACTTTACCTGGTACGTCTGTTGGTTTTCTGTCATCAGGTCTATGGCCAAAACTGTACTTGGGTGTAGAATCCAACTTAGTTTTTTCTGGCGCATATTGTCCTGGACCTAAACAATAAATATATTCGTGATAATTTAATATATTGAAAACACAAAATATAATATACGATATTTTTTACATATTTACCTGGCACGTCACTAGGTTTAGAATCGTCTGGTCTATGTCCAAAACTAAACTGAGGAGTTTTGTCCAACTTAGTTTTTTCAGGTGCATACTTTCCAGGCCCTAGGATAATATTTGTATAAATTATTAAAATTATTAAATAAATATAGTTTTTATATATATTTTTAAACTTGTACCTGGCACATCACTAGGTTTAGTATGCTCTGGTCTAAGGCCAAAACTATATTTAGGAGTCGAGTCTAATTTTGTCTTTTCTGGAGCATATTGTCCAGGACCTGAGTAAAAAATATTCATTAACACAATTTTTGTAAAATAAGGATATCAGTAAAATTCCATTACCAACCTGGTACGCCATCAGGTTTTTTGTCTTCTGGTCTGTGACCAAAACTATATTTGGGAGTCGAGTCTAATTTTGTCTTTTCTGGAGCATATTGACCAGGACCTGAGTAAGTAATATTTATCAACACAATTTTTATAAAATTAGAATAGTTGTGAAATTTAATTACTAACCTGGTACATCACTTGGCTTGGTATGTTCAGGTTTATGACCAAAACTGTATTTGGGAGTCGTATCCAAACTAGTTTTTTCTGGGGCATATTGTCCAGGGCCTAAATAGACAAAAATATATCAATATTAATTTATAATATTATTAATATATTTCCTAAACTATGCGTTTATTTACCTGGCACACCATCAGGTTTTTTGTCTTCAGGTCTATGGCCAAAACTATATTTGGGTGTCGAATCTAATTTGGTTTTTTCTGGGGCATATTGTCCAGGTCCTAAATAGACAAAAATATATTATTATTAATTAATAATATTATTAATATAATTCCTAAACTATGCGTCTTTTTACCTGGTACACCATCAGGTTTCTTGTCTTCAGGTCTATGGCCAAAACTGTATTTGGGAGTGGAGTCCAATTTTGTTTTTTCAGGTGCATATTGACCAGGACCTTAATAAAAATAAATAATTAATTTACTTAAACAGTTTATATTGTGAATTTTATAATTTTATTACCTGGTACATCACTAGGTTTGGTTTTCTCAGGTTTATGTCCAAAACTATATTTAGGTGTAGTGCTTAATTTTGTTTTTTCCGGAGCATATTGACCAGGACCTTTAAAAAATAAATTTAGTTGAGTTTTATAATTATATAGGTTTACAGAAAATCTAAATTGGTTTTTATCTATTACCTGGTACTTCACTAGGTTTCTTTTTATCAGGTTTGACACCAAAACTGTATTTAGGAGTTGTGTCTAATTTTGTTTTTTCTGGAGCATATTGTCCAGGACCTGAAAAAATATTTTGAACAAAATTAATTTAAATATTAAAATTAGAATTAATTAACTTCCCGTAGGGCAAGTTATAGTAATCGCAAAAAAATCGAAAATGAAAATGTTTATATATCTTTACGTTTCAGAGGTTTCTGAACATTTTGGCATACCTTAGAAAAAATGGATGTATGTGTGTGTGTGTGTGTGTGTGTGTGTGTATGTATGTATGTATGTATGTTGTATGTATGTATGTATGTATGTGCGTGTGTGTATGTATGTGCGGATACAAATTTTCGTCGACGATTTCGGGAACACGGATCAACCGATTTGAATAATTCAAAAAACATTCGATTCGTATTAATAAGGAGACGTGCTGATTAGTTTTTGGCGAAAGCAGGTCTAGCCGTTCCAAAGATACGGGGCAAAAAGTGCCGAAAACGGTAACTCAGTTTTAAGAGAACGGAGCGTCCGATTTGAATATTTCAAAAAACATTTTACTTGTATTGACAAGATAAAGAATTGATCAAATTTTCATGAAGGCAGGTCTAACGGTTTCGGAGATCTGATGAAAAAAGTAAAAAAAAATGCCATTTGGCGGTCAAAAATGATCATTAGACATATGCACATCAAATTATCAAATATTTTATAGAGATTTTAACAATAAGTATAAATTTTTTTTACATTTCTATGGGTTCCGTACCAATGTTTACGCGTTAGACGGCGACGCGGCGCTTACGGGCTTTGATATTTCGTCTTTATGCAGTTAAAGCAGTACGATTGCTCTGAAAAAAAGTTTAGATCTTCCAAAATATGTCAAAATAAAATAAAACATTTTTTTTTTTTAAAAAAAAATAAAAAAAAATTTTTTTTTTCAAAAAAAAGTAATTTTTTGTCCAATATATAGTTTCTCAAAAATTTTTTCAAAGTAAATTTTTTTCAAAAATCTTAATCGTTTTTAAAAAAAAAATTTTGGTACGGGAAGTTCCAGCAATTTGCCTTAAGGCACGATGCCTTAATTGCCTTAAGACAGAATTCCACTTACAGCTAGTTTACAATTATTTTTTATACCTGGTACATCACTAGGTTTCTTATTTTTAGGTTTTTGTCCAAAACTGTATTTAGGAGTCGTGTCTAAATTTGTTTTTTCAGGTGCATACTTTCCAGGACCTGGCAAAAATATTTATATAATACTTGTTAAAACTTTTTTAGAATTCCTCAACATACCTGGTACGTCGCTAGGTTTAGTTTTTTCAGGTTTATGGCCAAAACTGTACCTGGGGGTGGTATCCAATTTGGTTTTTTCAGGAGCATATTGACCAGGACCTTAAAAATAAATATGATTTAATAAATATATTATTTATTTTTAGGGCCAAAATATTTTTGGTGTTACCTGGTACATCACTAGGTTTTGTGTGCTCAGGTTTATGGCCAAAACTAAATTTGGGTGTTGTGTCTAATTTAGTTTTTTCAGGAGCATATTTACCAGGACCTAAAATATTAATACACAATTAAATTGTGACTCAACATTCACAATATTTTTTGAGATTTTTACCTGGTACGTCACTAGGTTTACTATGTTCAGGTTTCAACCCAAAGCTGTATTTTGGCGTTGTGTCTAGTTTGACTTTCTCAGGAGCATATTGACCTGGCCCTAAAATTATTACAAATTATAAACCAAAACTACAAAATACCACAATAAAAATTAGAGTTGTCCTGAATTTTATTACCTGGAACGTCACTAGGTTTATGATGTTCTGGTTTGTGCCCAAAACTATACATAGGAGTATGGTCTAGTTTGGTCTTTTCAGGAGCATATTGGCCAGGACCTAAAAAAATAGAAATATGATATAAAATTATCCAGAAACAAGTTATTTGACTATTATTACCTGGAACATGATCAGTCTTATTAATCACAGACTTTTGACCAAAAGTGTACTTATGTGCAGTGTCAACGTGAGTCTTTTCCACATAATATTGTCCAGGACCTGGCCAAAAAACAACAATTAACAAATTGTCTTGAACCCAAAAAAATATTTACCATTTACCTGGTACATCACTAATTGGTTTATCATGCTCCGGTTTGTGACCAAAACTATATTTGGGTGAAGAATCGCCAACCAGCTTTGTTTTTTCTGGTGCATACTGTCCTGGCCCTAAAGGAAAATATGAATGAATCATCCTATAAATATTTTTTTAATAAATTTTATTACCTGGTACTTCATCACGTGGATGCAATTCAGTACGTCCTCTGATTGTATATTGAGGTGATTTGGACAAACGCACTTTTTCAGGTGAATATTGACCTGGTCCTGGGTAATAGATACATCAAATTAGTGTATTTATTTTGTTTGGTGCTAAATAGTTTAGTATTATAAAGCTTTATTGAAAAAATTAAAAAAAATTATTCGAGGTTTGATTTTTTGGGTTTTAGTTTGGTTTTTGGTCTTAAGGAATTGAGAGCAAACGTACATATTTTTGTACAATGTTAATTTAAAATTATAAATTATATATATATATATATATATATTATATATATATATATAAGGTTGTCAAATATCTCCCTTCCGCCTTTTGTATTATAAACCAAGAGCAAAAAAGCGGAAGGAGATATTTGACAACATATATATATATATATATATATATATATATATATATGTACATAATTAATAGAAAAATATTGAGTTTTGCCAAAAGTTGCAAAAATTATCAGGAAAGTATTATTTTCTCATAAAAATCATATTAGAAAATTTGTTTCCATTCACCATTTTAATCAAATTAATTACTTAGCAGCGTTTTATTATTTTTAAAAAATATTAGAAACTTGCCAAAAGGCAAATTTTGATACATTTGTATTATTTTAAGTATTAGCTAATTTTTAAAAATTATTTGGGCCACTACGATACTATAGTTTTAGTTCTAACGTTAATTTTGTTAAACAAGAGGGTCATTTATCTTTATCGACCTGGTTTTGTATCCTTCGGTTTTTTACTTTTTTTCTTCTTTTCAGTTCCTAAATATAGAAATTTGGGTTTGTACACTTAATTTTTTTAATTGTTTTTGTATATATTTTGGTGATTGGTGGTAAATTTCATACCTGGTACGTCGTTTTTCTTCTCAGATTTTGGTTTACGTCCAAAACTGTACATTGGAGATTTATCCCGGCGCAGATTTTCTGGTGAATAATGTCCTGGGCCTGAAAAACGTCAAAATTGTTTCAGGAAATTTGATATTTTAATAGCAATTTATAGTTTAAAGATCCTGGTTGCATTTGGTTAAAACAGAAACAAAATTGTGTAAAAAGGATCCTGGTAGACCAACTTAAGGGCGCACAACTAGTGTGAAATTTTCAAAAAATCAAATTTTCAATTTTTTCATATTTCGATAGGGTATACCTTTAAAAATAACATACCAAAATTTAAAATCGATATCTTAAATAGTTTGTGAGTCACAGTCATTTAAAGAGTATATATATGGTATATAGTTTAACGATCATTTTATTTTTAAACGCGTTTTTCTCGAAACAGCATTTTCCGAATTTGCTGCAGCGATTACTCAAAATCAAATGATCCAATCACTATCAAATTTTTTATACATGTTCTATATATAGTTTTCCGTATAATGACTTATCGATTTGTTAATCTGATCAAAAACCGAATTTTGACAGTTCAAAAACGACCAAAATTTTGGGTAAAATTCGACTTTTTTTAAAAAACGTCGTCATATTGTCAATTTTTGATTTTTTTTCTTTATCGTAGTTCATTTTACAGACAATATTATCTAGTTTACCAGATTTTTTTTTTAAATTTCATCCACGTAGAAGGCCGGAATCACTGCAGCAGTGAAGGGTCTTTTTTTGTCGACGATAACTTAAAAAATATTTAATTTTTTTCTTCTTTAATTTTACTATGTATTCTTAAAACATGTATAAATTTATTTCTAAAATTTTGAAATGATTGATAAAGTAGTTTTTTTAATATAAATTCCCAAAAATCACGTTTTTTTAGGCCATTACACTAGTTGTGCCCCTTAAGGTACAATACAAAAACTGGTCTGGAGAAACTTGATTTGATTATCAAAACCAGAAAAAAATGTTGGGTTTCTGGTTAAGTTTATAATAGTCAAGATACTTAAATGCATCCTTAATATTTGCAGGATTTAATCTAAATTTATACATCCATATAAAAAATACTTTTTTGCATCAAATAAACTAAATTATCTAATCATCTCATGTGGATGCAAAATGTATACTCGTGAAGTAAAATACCTACTTCAGTAATTAAAATGAATATTTTTCCTCTTACCTGGATTTAAATTAGGTTTTCCAACAGCAGGTCCTTGCCAATCACTAAACCTGACATATCTATGATATTCCTGATGACTGGTATCAATATTCTCCTTCTGGTTATCTCGAATATCCATTTCTTCTTTTCGAATTTTAATATGATTATCAGTAACAACTATTTCATCATCAGTTTTTTTTGTGACGACATCTTGTTCACGTTTTATAAATTCAGTAGTGTCGTCTTTGTGGTCTTGGATGAGACTGTTTTGTTTCTGGATGCGTTTGTTGATGTCCATTAGTTGTTTTTCGCGAATTTCTTGGAAATTGGCGATTTTTTGGTCAGTAGATAATTCTTCCTTGGTGTAATAATCCACATCTTTTGTGATTTGCTGATGATCTGTCTTGTAATGGTCATCGTACCTGGATTTGTGTTCAGATACATCTTCCTTGGTTAGAAGTTTGGTACGTTCTTGGATATCCTGATCAGTTTTGGATACTTTGTGAGTACTGGTTGTGTCTTTGATTCTGGTCTCACTAGTTTCTGGCAAATTATCCTGAACAACTCTATACTTTGTCACAACAGAACTATCCACACTACCTTCTTGTTGCGTAATAGTATCCGAAATAACACGTTTATTACTATCAGTGATGATAGTCCTGATAATTTCTGGTTGGTTCTTTTCTACAATCCTGTACTTGGTGATTGTATGTCCTTGTTTGGTGGAGTCTGCACCAACAATTTTGTGGTTGTCTGGTAAATCTCCTTGGATGACTCGATATTTTGTTATCACTTGTTTGCCAGAACCTTGCTGAATTGAGGAGCTGGTATCAGAAGTATGAGTTGTCACAGTTTGTCCTGGTGAATATTGTCACCAGAAATTATTTGTCGGTTGTCTGTGATTATTGTCTCGGTTTGTTCTGGTAAATCACCTTGGATGACTCGATATTTGGTGACAATTTGTTTGCCAGAACCTTGTTCTTTTTGGATTAGAGAGCTGGATTCGTGTTTACTAGAAGTACGAGTGGTTGAGACTTGTCCTGGACTATCGCCAGGAGTAATTTTTGTTGTCTGTGATTGTTGTCTCAGTAGTTTCTGGTAAATCACCTTGAATGACTCGATATTTTGTCACAACTTGCTTGCCAGAGTCTTGTTCTTTTTGGATTGCAGAACTAGATTCATATTTACCAGAAGTACGAGTATCTCCAGAAACAATTTGTCGGTTATCTGTGATTACAGTCTCGGTAGTTTCTGGAAAATCACCTTGAACGACTCGATATTTTGTCACAATTTTTTCACCAGAACCTTGTTCCTTCTGAATTATGGATCTAGATTCATCTTTATCAGAAGTACGAGTGTCACCAGAACCAATTTGTCGGTTATCTGTGACTATTGTCTCAGTAGTTTCTGGTAAATCACCTTGAATGACTCGATATTTTGTCACAACTTGCTTACCAGAACCTTGTTCTTTTTGGATTATAGAACTAGATTCATATTTACCAGAAGTACGAGTGTCACCAGAACTAATTTGTCGGTTGTCTGTGACTATTGTTCGGTATGTTCTGGTAAATCACCTTGAATGACTCTATATTTTGTAACTATTTTTTCACCAGAACCTTGTTCCTTCTGAATTATAGATCTAGACTCGTGTTTACCAGAAGTACTATTGTCACCAGAAATAATTTGTCGATTATCTGTGACTATTGTCTCGGTATGTTCTGGTAAATCACCTTGAATGACTCGATATTTTGTCACAACTTGCTTGCCAGAACCTTGTTCTTTTTGAATTACAGTACTAGATTCATATTTACCAGAAGTATGAGTGTCACCAGAACTAATTTGTCGGTTATCTGTGACTATTGTTTCAGTAGTTTCTGGTAAATCACCTTGGATGACTCGATATTTCGTCACGACTTGCTTGCCAGAACTTTGTTCCTTCTGAATTATGGAACTAGATTCATATTTACCAGAAGTACTAGTATCTCCAGAAAGTATTTGTCGGTTATCTGTGATCACAGTCTCGGTATGTTCTGGTAAATCACCTTGATGACTCGATATTTTGTCACAATTTTTTCACCAGAACCTTGTTCCTTCTGAATTATAGATCTAGACTCGTGTTTACCAGAAGTACGAGAGTCACCAGAACTAATTTGTCGGGTTTGTGATTACAGTCTCGGTATGTTCTGGTAAATCTCCTTGAATAACCCTATATTTTGTCACAACATGCCTTTGGTGCCCACCAGATCCTTGTTGCTCCTGTATAAACTCACTAGATTCACGTTTACCAGAATATTTAGTACTTGTCTCCAAATCACTTGGTATCACAATATACCTTTTGATAACCTGCTGACCTTGATCAGTTGTATCCTGGGTAAAACTTTGTTGCTCTCTGGAACTACTTGCAACTGATGTACGACTTTCTGGACGTTGATGGTCAATAGAACTAGTTCCTTCATTGGATAAGTTGACTTTGTACTTATATTTAGTCGTGACGTGTCCTTCTTGTTTACTATAACGTTCCTGGTCTTGTACCAGAGTACTTGATGACAATCTGTCTCCTGTGATAGAACTAACCACAGAATTTCTACTTTCTGGACGTTGGTTTTCCCTAAAATCAATCAACCTACTGCTTTCTTCCCTGACAACAAATTTGGTGTTACCTGGTGAATGTTCACTGGATTTTACTGGACTGGTTTTTGGGGGTTTGGATAAACCTGCACCATGTCTTAGACTGCTCTCAGTGCTTTGCTGGTAACTTTTTAGTCCATTTTTGCTGGTCGTTTTTTGGACTCGTTGAACTGAACCTGGGAGAAAATATGGGACTTACCTTCAGGATATGATAAATAAATGTGGCCCTTGGTAAAGGAATCTTGGTAATGCATTTTACTGACCGATTTGGCCAAAAATCTACTATGCAAAATGAATAGAGTTGCAAAAATCAGGCATCCTAAATTTTTGGTAAAAATTAATCCTAAGGCTACTGACCAATATTAATGTCAAGTGTTGAGAATATTTGTAACATTTGATGGCGTTTTACGAGTATACCGAGTTACTGTAGAGACTTTTGACTTTAGAAAATTTTGTTCAGAATTTAATTCTATATAATTTCTCCAAATACATCATCTATATAAATCGCATAGTTTAGCATATACAAAAAAAAAAAAATGTAAAAAATGTTCGTTCAAAATGTACTTACTCGACTTACGTTTCGAGATTCTAAGGCAATTTTAAAGTACAGTTGCTGTAAAGCATTACTATATCTGACAAAATTATGCACAATTTCATCGCCTAAAAATCACCTAAATACACTATATACTTTAAACAAACTGTATAAAAATTACAACGCATACAACAAGTGAATACACAAAAGTCTAATCAGTTTACAACTACCGCTTATAAATAGTATAATGGGCCAACCATGCGGATAATTTTTATAAAATATTTTTTTACCTATTTTTCTATCACTGTGTTCAACTTTTTCACGATTCAAAAAAGCCTGGTCATTCCTGTTGGTCAAAACTCTAAAAGATGCACTATTCCTGGTCACTGCATTTCTGACCAACCTGGTTTTTTCTTCAGAATAACTTGTCGAAGCATTTCCTTCAAAATAATAATTAAAATTGTAGAAAAATTACTGAAATTAATTTTATTATATATAAAAATATATTTTTAATAGTATTGAATTAGTTTTGTTAAATAAATAAATTTTTTGTTTTGTTAAACAAATTATTTGAAATTTAGCTGGTGTAGAATTTAATAGTGGGTGAATGGAGTTATTTGTTGTTCCAAAATTTCTACAAGCCGAAGTATTGATTGTACTAATTTATGTGTTTAGAAAAGTTTATAGGTAATTTTATCTTCTACAAATTTTGCCAAAGACAGTTTTGAAATAATCGAGATAATTTAAAAGTTATGTCTAAAAAACTTCACCCATCAATACTTTCTTAATGCCAGCATCTTTGCAGAAGCTTTTAAAATTAATTAAAAATTATTATTAAAAAGCACTAGAAAAATTATATTATAGCAATTATAGCTACTTACCAGTCACCAACCAAGAAATTTGTGTTAGTTAAGTCCAGCAAAGCATTTTTTTCTATAACAAAGCTCACAAAAAGCCCAAAAATGATTTTTCACCATTTTCCATCTTGAATTAAAATAGCTGACAAACACTTTTTTTGAATCTTGATTAATAAGTTGTTTATAGACACACACACATACACTTATAATAAATTGTTATAAATAAAACACATTTAGTAACAAAAGCGGCTGCAACATCGATTAAAAAATAATTTTCACATGTTAAATAGATATTTATAATGTCTGTTAAAAGTACAACTTTGCTCCTGCCGTTTTTGCAATAAAAATTGTTGACAATAACGGCGAGAACAAAGTTGTATTGTAACGGATATTTTATAAGTTTTTATAAAAATATATAAATAATTGTTCGAAATAAATAAAAACATATATAGAGTTCAAATCTGTTCAATTTGTCTATATTGTCGGATAATTTTTATATATTACGTATAATAATTTGGCACTAAATTAGGTTATTTATTGTCGTTATCACATTTTATGTTTTTAATTATAGAAATAAAATGATTTAAATGATAAGATTATATGAACTCGACTGAAATCCAAAATAATATTCCGCATTTAATTAAAAAAAAATCCAATATTTTTATTATTCTTATTATCAGTAATATTTTTGATTTTTGATTAGTTTTTTGTATTTCGTGCACATTAAATATTTTTTTAAATATCTGCTACCAAATATTGAATGATTCTCTTTATATTTTACGAACTGTGTATTATATAAATTCACTTTTCCGACTGAATTTCCCGACATAACCTACTTTTTCCCCTCCGGGAACAAATAATTGTAGTTTTCTTCATTCGGGGAGGAAAATTATTTTCGTGGGAACGAAAAACGTGTTTTTCGTCTATCTCATATGATCAATATTTTATGTAATTTCATATTTTGACAAGGAGGAAACAATACTTTGAACTAGATAGAATAAGGAGGACATCTATTATTATTCATCGTAAGAAACATTATATATGTATATATATATATATATATATATATATAAATATATATATATATATATATATATAATATATATAATCGTTGATCACATTTATTTGGCTCTTTGAAATTATATAGTTATTAAATAGCATCTAATTTAATAAAAAAGGCTCAAAATAATAAAAACGTATCTAGAACTTAAAGTTTTTTGAGGCCTGATGCACGTTTTGGATTTCAATTTTTCATTTTTGTTAACATGGTATGAAAACAATCAACTTTTATGAAAAATATTTCACAAACTCATTAAGGGTAAAATGCTCTTTGCATTATTCCTAGACAAATCTAACAAAAATAATTAACTAGTTTACAATTTTTTTTACAAAATTTGAAATTCGTTCACAGGACGTCAGTTGGATACTTATCAATTTATTAAAATAAATTTAAATTTTTTCTAACTATTTGTTGGATATTTTTTGTAACGTTTTTATTCTAAAAATCCATCGAGCAATTTTTTTGTAATTAGTAATTAAAATTTGTGATTTCAATAGTATTTTTATTATATAAAGCATTTTTTTGCAAAATTTCTCAAAATATTCTCAACTACGAATTTAAAAATTATAAATTGATTGTATGCAAATTTGTCTAATAATTCGAAAAAAATTACCCATTCAAAGACGCCCCTTTCATCACAGCCCTTGATTTTCCTTTATCGTATAACTTGTTATTTTTTTTTTCATAAATATAGCATTAAATCGTTAAATGTGTTAAAGGTTTTAAAGGTCTAGTTGCCTAAGTCGTACCACCTGACGCCTTAGTCGTACCTGTAAAAAACTATATAGGATTTCAGTTTAAGGTTTAACCGCTTTTCTTTAGTTTTTGGTTACCAAGTTGAAATAATTACTAAAGTAACATCTAAAATTGAATTTTCATCCCAAAAAGTAACATTTGCTTTGCAAAACTGTATTTTTTGTATTCAATAAAATAAATCTTACTAAGTCGAAATAATTATTAGAATGACACCTA